CACACACAGTTCAGACGTTACTGAGTAGAAAGTAAAGTAAATGCAGAAAGTTGAAAGCTCGGTTGCTTCCACTTTGTCACATGAATGAGTAACTAGATAACAGACATGCACACTGAAGGGGCTGCTCTCATGAAGTGAGGTAAGTGTGTTCCTAAGCCAGCTTTGGAGTTTATATCTCTGGATTTTCAGTCTCACAGGGCTGGCTCAGGTTAAAACATTTCTCCATGGTAGTGTGCACCTTCATTCTGCTCCCGGGCAGGTTCATTTCACATCAAAGAGGACCACATCAAAATCATAACACCAGCTCTCAGATAAAAAGGCTCACTTTGACAGAGTCCAACCAATTAATTATATAGCATGATTTCCATGGGATTTCTGTGAGGAACAAATTTGTGGTTATGCATTTTTCACATTTTGCACTTGTCATAGCAGTATTTAAAAGAGAATTTACAAAACCAAAGATGACTGGCGCCTAATTCGTCTTCATCTGTGAAGCTTTAAACTGCTCCAGATAACCAAACATGACACGGTGAGTATTTCACAAGATTTTTAGAAACTCACCCTGTCTGCCTGCCCACCCAGCAGGGTAACAACAATACCCCATCGGCCTTTTAATGGCTTTAATGGGGTAAAAAGTAAAAAAAAAAAAAAACATGTTGAAGATCTGACTCTGGCTGCTGGGGTCATCATGCTGTCTGTGCAGATGTTTGGAAAGAACCGATTTTGTGTTAGCAGCAGTGGAGTTTATGTCTTGGATGCAGTTTGCACTTCAGTTCAATATAGCACCAAATCACAACACATTTTATATTGTATGGTAAAGTCCCTTTTACAGAAGCATGTAATGTAAATGTGATTGTTGGAACATGCCTGTTAGTCGGAAAATTATGACCTGCACCTTTGTGTTTTGCACTTGGTTTTGCTTTTACCTCCTGGAATGGATTAGGCACTAAAAATTCTGGATTACCATAACAAAGATATTGTGGTTTGGATTGAAAAACATCACTTTGCACTCATTACCATATGGTTTTATATTCAACGTGTTGGGAGTGACAGCCCTGTCTCATGCAGCAGACAAAGGATATAACAAATGGGACTGAGAGCAACCTGTTAAATCTGAGGCTAGTTGACTAACTGACATGACTCATTATATAGATATGTGTCAGGTGAGCCACCCCCATTTAATTTTGAAGGGCATTTCCACATGTAGTTCATGATTTCTCAGCTGCAGAGGCTTCCACTTGGACAAATCTGAAAAATCTTCTTATTTAGAAAAACTGCCACAACTTTCAAAGCACATTAAGGTCTGCCAATTAACCCAACAGTCATAGCAAACCTGGATGCAAACCATCCTGGCTTACAGTGCATATTTACTGAGTATGTCAATCCAGTCTTTGGAAGTTTCTAGACTTTCGTTCCCTTTGGTCTTTAACTAAAACTCTCTTTCTCTGTTGTGGTTCAGTGGGTCGGACAAGGAGCGACGGTGAGTGGAAGCCAAGGAGGATCCACCAATTCCCTGAAGACACCACCATCACCATAACCACACACACACACACACACACACGCACCAGTATACTCACACCAACACACACAGACACACACAGATATAGAGCCTCAGGGTGGTAGAACAACGGGCCAACAGACAGTCCTACTTGATGTTAAAACATACAGTACAAAGTGTGGCTAAGAAGTGGCTGCAGCAGTGGGCTAACATCAGCTATAAGCCAATACTCAAACTGTGTGTCATTAGATTGAACTAGGTGTTAGTGTGATAAGGCTGGAGCAAAGTCTGATTCCAACTTCCTCTTGTGTCTTCACAACCAAATAAACACTTAACTACATTCCAACTAAACTAGTACAGTACTTATTGAGCTGTTACTGACAGTATTAACAGATTATCTAACAGATTAATCTTATGCCTCTTTTTTGTTTATAGGAAAATTGCAGTTTGTGGACCAAAATATTATATTTTTAGGTGAATATGCACAGCTTTGACTGTTGATTTGTGCAAGTGATCAGCTATCGTAGGCAACATATTTGCTCAATAGTAGGATTTAGAAAGGCGAGTTGCAGAATTAGAAAGCATCACTGTTCAGATCAACACATTTCAGCTCTTTTAAAAGTTTTATTTGTTGTGTTGAAGATTCATTCTCATCATGCGTTTGGTTATATCTTGTGTTGCCTTTATCAGTGGCAGCCGGAGCAGACATGAACAGAGGAGATTCAAATGCAAACCTTAGTTTTACTTCACTGGGCAAAGACGATTTCCTGTTAAGAAGTAAAATTGAAGAGGATTTGATTTGATCCAAGACTTTGTAAAATGTCAGAATGAACATTTTTAGTGCATGTTAAATTGGCATCCTTTTTTTAACAGGGTGTGGTCATAATAAAGGAAACATAAATTGTCATCGGTGGAAAAAGAGCAGTCCACTCATCTCATCTAAGGCAAATGAATTATGATTGTCTTTAGACATCATCCTGATAACCAGACATAAGTGTCATCATTACTTACTAATGTTATTTGGCTTTACAAGAATTTACAATTACAATTTCAGCACAAACATTAATAACATGAAATAAAAGTTTTACATTAAACTGTATGACTTATGGTTGACACTGTACTGTACAGTACGGTGTCTCGTCTGTCATGGTTACTTTTGGAAAATGTTTTACACTTTTGCAGATAAATGCTGATTGAAGGTTTTGACTGTTTTTAAAGCTGTTGCACTGGAAACAGCTGTGCGCTTCTGCTGGAAACAAGACTGATGAGCCATGAAAACAAAACATAAACAGGAATCTGTGGACTGTAAGATCTAAAGAAGTTCCGCAGAGCAAAAGGGGGTTGTAAACTTCAGTTGTTATTTTCAGTAGCTAAGGCAGCGGTCCCCAACTCCAGGCCTCGAGGGCCGGTGTCCTGCAAGGTGAATGGAAAGGGTCTTTTACAGGAGGCATTACTGCCAACATGAGCTCAGTTTGCTTCAACATGCTGAATTTAGGCGATCTAAATACCCTGAATAAACAGCTGGCTTGTTGTAGTTTGTCTGATTATGTGACTGCTCATGTTTTTCTGTCCCCTGTAGTGATGTCACCATGTTCCCAGATGCTACAAAAAATATAACCCATGTTGTAACAAATCAGTTATCCTTAGGGACTACACAATGACTGCAGATGTTATTGTGCAACCCCTTTGGGACTCCTTTGTGCCTTTTTAATGTGCTTTGCCATTTTGCCATTCAGTGTTCCAATTTAGAGAGGTGCTTAGAAGACCATAAAGGTGGTAACTCTTAATAATTTGCAAGAAATGAGGAGCTTTTGCAATGAAAGGGGACCTATAAATTTTGTTTGTTTGTTTTCTGTTATATACAGAATATACAATAGGAGGTGTTTATAATAAAGATGGCCAACATTTAAAATAGTAATCCCTGTGTGCCAAAAGATGTATCTGTTCTTAGATCTGTATGATGTCAGACAGAGGGGATCTCCATAATGTGGTCATTTTAGCACACAGCTCTGACAGTTCAAGTCATTCCTTATGAGGGGCAGCCAATCAGAAGAAATCTGGCTGAAAGGGAGGAGCTAAAAAGGTTTGTTTCAGACAATGCATGAATTGAGATGGTTTTAAAACTTTGATTCATGCAAAGCTACTTTAGTAAAGTCTGATAAAATAAAACAAAGCTGGAAATGAGCATTACAGGTCCCATTTAAGTTAATTGAATGATTCCACAGTGAAGCTGCCCTGCCCCACTGTTATGACACTCAATGTCGCTTTTCTTTAACTGGAACCATACTCTGTGATAGTAATTTAATAAGCCAGTGTTTGTTTGTTTTCTAACTAAAATCTGTTTAAATTCAGATTAATACCAGTATTGTTTATGGCTCGGTATTGGACACTGTCACGAATAACAGTTTCCTCTGTGTTTGTAGGTACCATGCATGCATCATTTTTTTCATGAGTCATTTTTAATAAATATCTTTTTTTTTTGTGAGATACTAATCATATTGTAAACACAAGATGTATTATGAACCTAAGGCAGAGTGTGTACATTGTCCATTCAGATGTTATTAATAAATATTTCTATATATAGCATGGATTGATTTATGGGTAGTGTGAGATGCAGCGAGAAGATGCTTCAGAGAGAGAATGAATGAGACAGATATAGAGACGTGTATCCCCCTCAGGCCTTCTGCTAACACCTGTGTTGTGAGCTCTCCCAACAGAGTGCTGTGATTGAAAGACCTATGAAAACCTTGTGACAGACACACTTTCTCTTACACAACACCCTCAATGATGCATTTGCTGCGCTAGGACCTCGCGCTCACTCAAAAGTCAACATTTAAAATATCAACATGTCTGGCTCTGGTGTTCCTCCTCTGAACATTTTTCCAATTAGCGAGAATTTGGACACATTAAACGATAGCATATCAAGGCTCCGATATAATTTTTTTAAGGACAAACTGCAAAGTGAATATTTCCATATAATTTCAGATTTGCTAGACCAAACAATGATTAAACAGGCCCCATGAGCACTGGAGCCATGTTTTTAATCTTACAAAGACAAATATTCCAATTTTCATCAGCTAATCGCTTTTTTTTTCTTTCTTTTTTTTGCCCGGATAGCTCACAATGCCTTTAATCACTACGCTGTTTCATTTAAGATAGTGAATTAATTTATTTTTCAAAACAAGCTCTGGTAAAACTATTCTATGCGTGTAGGACACGTTGTGCCGACATCTATTCACAGTGATTAGTTGTTCTTTAAAAAAATATAAATGCCTTTAAATCCCTATTGCAATAATCTGATCTGTATATCTCACTCAGTAAGCGGTTTGATGCTGCCTCAGTTGTGTGTGGAAATAATGTTGTTATCCATCTGCCCAAGGTTCAGTTTTGTCTGTTGTAAGATGAGCAGTTTTGACTGGGGAGATGACGTCCAGGTTCCAACTACATTTGCTGGAGTTATTGCAAGGTGCTACCGCCAGCAGTTACCGTCAGTATGAAAAAGTTATTTCAGGCTATTGTAATTTATGAACAAATTATTCGTCTTGTGCATTTGTTAAAGTGGCAATATTTGCCACAGCAGCTTTATGCCTGTCTATCATGAAAATATAATGATCCCTAAAACCTGCATCGTGATTAAAGTCCCTCATAAACTCAAACTTTCATTGGTCTCCTCTGCCACTCCTGGATTCATGTGCAGGTGTTTCATTTCCAGTTATCCCAGCAACTGCAGCACAATCTGCCAGCTACGGTTAAGATTCTCTTGGTGGCAGCGACATTCTCCAAAATGGAAACAGTTTTCCACATTAACCCAAGATGAGTTTTTGAGGGAGGAGGAAGTTGTCAGTGTCTTCCTACAATACCACAAAGCTGTATTTAATTTTATTGAAGCCTAAATCAAAACTTTACCACAGAATTTTATAACATGGGCACTTGAAAGTGGCTTCCTGGAGGTTCAAGTATAAGCCTGTTATAGCCAAAGCAGTCAGCATTTAAAGGACACTTTAATAGCATCTAAACTGGGGGAGCTGCATCCTGTAAGTCTTCTTTCTCAGACTCTATCGTTTCATTCTTTTGCAACTATTTCTAAAAAAAATATGAAAGAAAAAATTGTCCACAAAGTGTGTAAAATTACCCCCCGTTGGAACTATTTTTATATGATGTTTACAAGAAACCATGGCTGTGTCCAATGGTAAAATTCAATTTTGTTCTTCACAGAAGAAAATTCACATAACAACACAGGGAGTCTCTCCTTAGATCAGCCTGAAGGTAGTTTATTTTAAGCATTTGGGGAAAAACACGGCTAAAGTTGCTCCTTTTCTGGTGAGGCTCTCAAAAGTTTCAAATCAATTTAGAGCTGTAGCTGGAGTCGAGAGAAACCCAAACAGACGTACATCTCATTAGTGTGCCAGTCAAGTTTATTGTGATGCTTCTCACGCTCAGATCATTACTGCCGTGATTTGATTTCCCCCTCCTTTTTTTTAAACTTAATCTGCCGGTGTTACAAAAGCCCCTGCATAATTAAAAAATAAATAACACGCAATAGTTGATATCTATTTATGATTACATCACCTGAAGCCACTTTATGTTTCAAATAATTTGACTGTAACTAAGACTTTTCATGAGATAGCCGTGCAGTAAAGGATGTCATTTGCTGTGGGACCTGATCGATCTTATCTCTGTGTGTCAGGGATAATTATGAATTCTAAATAATTACTGTAGTAATTGACAATTTTTACCAACTCTCTGACTGTGGAGACACTTACATCAATTCTCCTGCAGTGTGATGGCTAAACAATTTACTAAACTTATGACGTACAAAAACCCCAAACATTCATTGGCACAAATTATGAATCACTTTCTCTGGCAAGTAAGTATTGCATTACATTTGAGAAAAGTAACGAGTAATGTGTAATAATTACAAAGAAGAAGAAGAAGAAGAAGAAGAAGAAGAAGAAGAAGAAGAAGAAGAAGATGAAGACACAGAACCCACTGCAAAAGCAAACACGTCCCTACTCAATTTTAATTAGTTTGCCTTAATTAATCATGTACAGTAGTTTATAGAAGGACTTTTGCTTACATTGAGTTATCTGTTTTATCTGCCTTTGTGTTGATGTGTGCATATTTATTATTGCTATTATGTGCTTAATTTTTCTGAGGGCAGAATAAGTGTGCAATGCAAGTATCTAATGTTTAACCTCAGTTCCTTAAATTAGCAGTGCTGTGATCAATGACTCCTGGTCAATGCTTGTGTTCAGGGATATTAAAATGTTAATTAAATCTGTGTTCCTGTAAGTGTGTGGTGTTCGGGGCACAAGAATGTGACAAAAATGTATCTGAGTCGCACAAAATCTCAATATTGTGTACGAATGTCTACTAATTTAGACCACTCACATTTTCTTAGCATATTTATCATAACATGCACTAAAATAAGAATTCAAGTGTGTAACTTGCGTGTATACGATGACATTTCCATGTGATTTTTCACATGGAAGAACAAGTACAAGTACTATGCACTTCCTAAGTTGTCATTCATTATTGTGATTGAATGAGATTGCATAATTTTAAGATAAGATAAGATAAGATAGAACTTTATTAATCCCTCGGGTGGGTTCCTCTGGGAAATTCGATT